ATGAGGCAACTGCTGTTGACTTTGAGTAGGCAGCTTAACTTCACAGCTCCGGTTCTTCAGTTGTGGAAGAGGGTAAGAGTAGCACCTATCTTTTGGTGTGAAGATAAAAGAAGTTAACATATACAACTGTAGGACAGTGGCTAGTAGTAATTCTGCTGTAACTATTAGATGTTATTAGCCTTAACTACCTGTTATGTAGTTGTGTGGTGTGAGGATATGGGCTATAGGAAGAATGAAGCAGAGAGGCATTCGTTTAGTGGGAAATCTAAGTTAAACTGAAGAAAATCCTATGTGCTTTTTATTTTATTTTTTTTTATTTTTTAAGATTTTATTTATTATTTGAAAGGCAGAGTTACACAGAGAGAGGAGAGGCAGAGAGAGAGAGGTCTTCCATCCACTCACTCCCCAGATGGCCGCAACAGCCAGAGCTGTGCAGATCCGAAGCCAGGAGCTTCCTCCAGGTCTCCCACACGGGTGCAGGGGCCCAAGGACTTGGGCCATCTTCCACTGCTTTCCCAGGCCATAGCAGAGAGCTGGATCGGAAGAGGAGCAGCCAGGTCTCGAACCAGCACCAACATGGGATGCCGGCGCTTCAGGACAGGGCTTTAACCCGCTGCGCCACAGCGCCGGCCCCGATCCTGAGTGCTTTTGAAACATTCCTTGGTTTTGTTTTCTTTGGCTCCTGTTTTTATTTTCTTTGATTTCTTAATTAAAGTAACCTAGGAAGGAATATAGTTTCCCTTAGATGATCCATGTTGGAGAGCCAGTCTGAATGTGAGCTGCTCCAGCCTCCAGGCTCCAGCCTGGCTTAGCCTTGGCTGTTGTGGCCGTTTTGGGAGTGAACCAGCAGATGAAAGATCTCTTACCTCTTTCTCTCTGTCTTTCCCTTGTTCTATTACTCTGCCTTTCAAATTAAAGGAAAAAAAAAAAAAAAAACCAAGCAAAAAAAAAAAAAAAACTAAAAGATAAAGCAGAAATTATGTGCCTAAAGTCCCTGTTACTGCTTCAAAGCCCAGGAAATATGAATTACATTGACAGTGGGCCATTTCAGGCCCTTTCCTGAAGCCATTCTCTCTTTTGCTCCCCAGACAGAAACTTTGTAATTCAACACATTTTTTTGCACTTCTGCTCTGTGTTAGGCTCTGTCCGGAGGGAGGGGCTGCCAGTGAACGAAGCTGAGTCCCTGTTCTCTTGGAGCTGCTGTCCTGAATGGAGTGTGTGTCCTGCGTGTTGTTTTACGCTGTAACAAGGATGTACATAGAAGTGCTTTGCTGCATCTTCCCCCATGTTGCCCTTTCTTTTTAAGAATACTTCTTATAGTAAAACCAGTTTTGCTACCTGGTATTCTATTATTTACCCATTTTGCCTTCTAATGAGCAGTTAGATTGTTTCCAGTGTTTGATATTAACAGTTCTTCAAAAAGATTGCCCCATCACCTGGACATATGCAAGAGTTTCTCTAAGGCAGTGAGTTTCAAGCTTTTTTTTTTTTTTTTTTTTTTTTGACAGATAGAGTTAGAGAGAGAGACAGAGAGAAAGGTCTTCCTTCTGTTGGTTCAACCCCCAAATGGCCGCTACGGCTGGAACTATGCCGATCCGAAGCCAGGAGCCAGGTGCTTCTTCCTGGTCTCCCATGCAAGTACAAGAGCCCAAGCACTTGGGACATCCTCCACTGCCTTCCTGGGCCACAGCAGAGAGCTGGACTGGAAGAGGAGCAACCAGGACTAGAACCCTGCACCCATATGGGATGCTGGTGCCGCAGGCGGAGGATTAGCCAAGTGAGCCAGGGTGCCAGCCCCGAGTTTCAAGCTTTTGATTGTGACTATAGTAAGAAGTATATACCTCAGCTCAGAAAACACAATCACACGTCTGGAGTGAAAGGAACAGTGTTTATTTACCATTGCCACCTGATACACACTGGAATTCATCTTTTTTTTTTTTTTTTTAAGATTTATTTATTTGCTTGAAAGGCAGAGAGAGAGAGAGGTCTTCCATCTGTTGGTTTACTTCTCTGATGGCTGAAACGGCCGGAACTGCGCAAAGCCAGGAGCCAGAAGCTCTTCTGGGTCTCCCATTTGGATGCTGGAACCCAAGACTTGGGCCATCTTCTGCTTTCCCAGGCCATAGCAGAGAGCTGGATGGGAATTGGAACATCCAGGACTTGAACAGGTGCCCATATGGGACTTCTACGTTACAGGCAGCTGCTTGTCCCACTGTGCCACAATGGCAACCCCTAAAGTGTGCTGTAAAGTGTATCACACAGAAATTTAAAGTTTAAGGGTAGTCACCACTGTTTGCAGGGAGGAAAGGTTAGAATAACTGAATTTTCCTTCTGACAGAAAAAATAGTGAAACAAATATTATAATTTCTACCATATATTGAGAGTTATAGTATGCTAGACAATATGCTAAGTGCATTGAATGACTTATTTAATCTTCATAGGAGCCTGTAAAATGAGTACCCTCTTAGACAGATATGGAGAGAGATGCAGAAAAGTTAAATAGTCATACAGTTATTAATGGGCCCAGAATTTAAATCCAGGTTGGTCTAACTTTGTAATGTATGTTCATACATACTTTATTTTGTTTGGGAATTCTTAAGAGGAGGAAGATTTGTCATTTCTGCTTTCTTCTGTTGGTTTGTCTATTAATGAGTTTACATCTCCCTCCTTGGAATAGTGGAGTCTTTCCTCTTGTAAAACTTCCCTGATATATATTGTCATGTACTTGCTTTTGACCCCATTATGAATCGGCTTGTTGTCTTTGATGGCTGTGTGTTCATCTCTCGTCCCCCATCCTCTACCTTGTACATTCCACCTGATCTTTTCCAGTGATCTGTAATCTTGCTGTGCCTTACAGTTACGTGTGAAATTTTTTAAATATACAGATGCCTAGTTTCCATTCCTATCCTGCAAGTTCTTGTTTGGAAACCTTTATTTTTTCAAAAGGTCTACAGACAATTCTATTGTACAACCATGGGTTGAGAACCGTTGCCTTGGTGGGTTAATGGTACTTGAGAGTCCTTTCTAGTTGAGTGACATTATTGTAATTCTTTAATCTCAGCTAAGGTTTTTCATCTGTAAGTTGGAGATAATATTACCACTCACCTTAAAGGGTTGTTGAGGTTAAATGAGGTAATGTTTGCAAAATACTAGAAGGATTTAGAATTTTTAAACATTGTCTACTTGTAAGGTATCATGGTTGGTTATCTTTCCTCCAATCAAAATACTCACCTTTATGTTAATGTGTATCCATTTGGTGTCTGAAAAGTAATGTGATAAATACTGCTGTAAAGGATGAATGATAACTAGTTTTCAGTGTCTGCCTTCGGCTAGTGGAATTGTAATGGGGCAGAGGAGTAAGCAGATTGTTTTATTACACCAGTCAGCTAGTCTTCTGTGTATCTGTTTGGTTCTGGGTTGGGGATGGGAAGGAGAGGCAGAAGGTTCCTGGGAAACCAAACGTAGCTCTTGTTTCCTTTGTAGAGGGCCTTATTTTCCCTCTTTCTCTCCCAGTTTCCTCTGAGGTTAGCATCTGTCTCCTAGTCTCCCAGCTGCATACTGGTAGACCTAGTTACTGTCCCTTGTGATGGTCACTTCCATTAAACCTCTGTTCATTGTTATTTCTTTCAGATCACTTTTAGTTCTGTTGCGACTCATTGGGTTACACAGATCCCAAGTGTCCATGAACCTAGGCTGTTAGTCATCTAGAGGCCAACCTAAGACCTGACCAACTGTCTCCGTGCCTTGTGCTGTTCCATTCCAGACTTTGGAGGATTGGGAAGGGAGATTAACTAAGCTTTCAGACTCATCATCAGGGCAAGACCTTTTGATCTCCTTTACTATTTATACATGGTGGTCAAATAGAGTATAATAGTAATGTGTTTTTGCCTTTAGATTATTAGATTATTAGATTAATTTTGGTATATTTGTATAGGAAGCTTTGTGGTTTGTATAATTGCTTTTAACTTGAAATTGACAGGCTGGTGTTTTAGCCCAAAGTGTTTAGCTGCTGCCTGCAGTGCCAGCATCCCACGTGGGCACCAGTTCATGTCCCAGCTGCTCCTGTTCTGATCCAGCTCCCTGCTGATGGCCTAGGGAAACAGCAGAAAATGGCCCAAGTGCTTGGGCCTGTGCCACCCTTAAAGCTATTAGCTTCAGCCTAGCCTCACCCTGGCCGTTGGCAGCCATTTTGGAAGTCAACCAATGGATGAAAGATCTCTTTCTCTCCCTTTCTGTCCATCTCTGTAACTCTGCCTTTCAAATAAATAAATAAATCTTAACAACAGAAAGTTGAAATTGGGCCATTTATAGTAATTTAACAACGTATTAAAGACTTTTTTAATCAACGACTGAAAAACCTCATGGAAGAGGTAGAATTTGAGCCAGACTTTATACTGTTTTCTGTAAGCAGAGAGGAGGAGCATGGGATTCCAGTAAAGGAGGCTGACTTGAGTAAAGGTAGGAGTATGCCAATTGTGAGCATTGTAAGAAGATCTTTTTTTACTTTCTCAGTGGATTCATGTAGTGGGAATAGAACCGGGTAATTTGGATAAACTTTGGAAATTCCTAAACGTGGAACTAAGATGTTTGAATTAATAGGATTCTTATATGTCCTGTGAATTTGTCTTTTCTTGATTGATACACATACGAGTTAGTTCTGAGATACCCTAAGAAAAGGTGCAGTATATCCTTAAACATTTGTCCCGGTTCGTGCAAGTTGATGGCCACTGTCAGGTCCCCTTTCTACCCCAAGCATCAGGGAGAGTGTTTTATCAGCTTCCCCTCATCCCCATGCTTTAGGTCTCACTACCTGCGGTCCACTCTGAGCTGTGCGTGATCAGCCTTTCTCCCCCAGTTCTTCCCTGTTAGTGTCCAGTTTGTAAGTCAACAGCACAGGTGTCTGCTTATAGTAAGAGTTGTGAGTACTTGTCTAAGACTTTTGCTGTATCTTCAGAAAAGATAAGGCAGTGATTGACTTTCCTGTTTCTTTTCCTTTGCAGAACTAGAGGATCAAGACATAATGGGAGCATTTTTAGACAAGCCAAAGATGGAAAAGCATAATGCCCAGGGGCAGGGTAATGGGTTGCGATATGGGCTAAGCAGCATGCAAGGCTGGCGCGTGGAAATGGAGGATGCACACACGGCTGTGATCGGTTTGCCAAGTGGACTTGAAACATGGTCATTCTTTGCTGTGTATGATGGGCATGCTGGTTCTCAGGTTGCCAAGTACTGCTGTGAGCATTTGTTAGATCACATCACCAATAACCAGGACTTTAAAGGGTCTGCAGGAGCACCGTCTGTGGAAAACGTCAAGAATGGAATCAGAACAGGTTTTCTGGAGATTGATGAACACATGCGAGTTATGTCCGAGAAGAAGCACGGTGCAGATAGGAGTGGGTCAACAGCGGTGGGGGTCTTAATTTCACCCCAGCACACTTACTTCATTAACTGTGGAGACTCAAGAGGTTTACTTTGTAGGAACAGGAAAGTTCACTTCTTCACACAAGATCACAAACCAAGTAATCCGCTGGAAAAAGAACGAATTCAGAATGCAGGTGGCTCTGTCATGATTCAGCGTGTGAATGGCTCTCTGGCTGTATCGAGGGCTCTTGGGGATTTTGATTACAAGTGTGTCCATGGAAAAGGTCCTACAGAGCAGCTTGTCTCTCCAGAGCCTGAAGTCCATGACATTGAAAGATCTGAAGAAGATGATCAGTTCATTATCCTTGCATGTGATGGTATCTGGGATGTCATGGGAAACGAAGAGCTCTGTGATTTTGTAAGATCCAGACTTGAAGTCACTGATGACCTTGAGAAAGTTTGCAATGAAGTAGTCGACACCTGTTTGTATAAGGTAGCTAGACCTTTTTTTTTTTTAAGCATAAAACAATTTATGTTGTATTAATTAGTATTTAATCATTCTGTAACCTGCGGTTCTCAAAAGTAAGTTTTAGCACAGTTGCAGGTTACTCTTCATCTATTATGAAAATACAGGGACACTTTTTAGAAGTAAATTACCCCATTATCATGTATGCAAGTTGTCAACTGACTGGTCTTTTAGTAACCACGATTACTTGGAACCTTCTAATAATGGGGATGTTTATCAAAGGTAAAAAGATTATATTAGAATGCTTCTTTTAAAGGAAGGAAGATGGGGATGGTTAGCTTTCATACAAGTGAAAAAACATTTTAGAAATTTAATACTTTTGCCATGTGATATCTCAGAACATATGTGGAAGTACTTTTCGACTTTGGTTTAATGAATCAGCACCAGCAAAGGTACTTAGTGAGCATTTGGTGTGATGTCATAGAAATAGCCTGGGACATGGAGTCAGAAGAAATTGGTGTGAGACTGTTTCTAACTCAGGTAAGTGATTTAAATTCTCTGGAAAAATCAGTTTAATTGTGAAAAGGGTAAGACATACTCTCACACTGTGTCCTGTATGCTTGTTGGGAGCATCAGAAGGGATCATATCCATAGATGAGCTAGTTTGGCTGTTTTGTTCTATAGTGAGACAGACCTGGATCAAGGCTTACCTCGTAGACTTTTGTACTCTTATACTCTTTTTTTTTTTTTTTTTTTTTTTTTTTTAAAGAGTTACAGAGAGGGGGGAGGGAGAGAGACAGAGAGATCTTCCTTCCATCCACTGGTTCACTCCTCAGATGGCTGCAACAGCCGGGGCTGGGACTAGACTATTCCAAAGCCAGGAGCCAGGAGCTTCTTCCAGGTCTTCCACATGGGTGCATGGACCCAAGTACTTGGGGCCATCTGCCGCTGCTTTCCCAGGCATGTTAGCAGGGAGCTGGAATGAAATATGTAAGTTGTCTAGTTTAACATATAATACGTCCTCTATACAAGCTGCTGTCTCTCCTAGGTAAGTTATAAATGACTCAAACAGGGTTATACAACTTGAGTGGCAGCATTAAAACTAGAAAATCTTGACATTTTACTTATGGCTTATTGTTGTATTTTGTCAGTGGTGGTTTTATTGATTTTTCTTTTTAACACATTGATTTTATAAAATTCGTGTATTTGATTTAACATTCAGAGATTCAAATTCAACATTCTGTATGGTTTTATAGACACACTAGCAACTCGACTTAATTGATACCTGATTTCTGTGATATCCAATGCATATGTTGACATCAATAGAGTAACAGCTCTATTAATAGTGCATACGGTCAGTTTCTGAATTTCAGGAGAACTGAATATGATTTAAGGCACATATGTTGTCACCTTTAGTCTGTAGGAAAGTAGCATTTATTGAGTTTATTCTGCACTGCTTGAGAGTTAAATGCTTGTTAGGTAAATTAAGAACAGTTTTCTTGAGTGCAAATACACAGTATACCTTAGATTCCACTTTTTTTTTTTTAGCTCCTCTGCATTATTTTAAAAATTAGCAAACATATTAACATTTGTCACATCTTATACAATTTTCCTCTGATGATCTTTTCTGTTTCTTAAGTTTGTTTGTTGATTAAGCTAATGATACAGAAGATCAGTCTTTTCCATATACCTGAGTTAAATGCTTAAAAAGTAAAAGTTAACTCCAGTTTCCTAGTAGGAAGGAGAGTAGAGGGAGGCCCCACCATCAATTCAATCATTTAATTAAATCATTTTGAATACTCGGGTATCTTTGAATATATTTCCTAAAAGGTCATTTTTTATAATGATAGTTAAAAGGTAGTTTATAAAGTTAATGTATATAGTTTTACTTCTAACTCCATATTTTACTTAGGAGGCAAATGTGTTGACCCCACAATTTATTGTAAATTATTTTAACTGTAAATTTGTCAGAGATCTGCATAGCAAATCCTGTTGTAAAGAGTACCAGTAGAATTGTCTGTCATGTTGTATGGCATGAATGTGCACGTATATGTGTATATGTTTTAGATATTGCTTTAAGACAACTACCAGTGAATGTTTAGCAATAGCTTTGATAGAATTATTAAAAAATGATTATCAGAGTGGGCTTTAACCTGCAATGTTTCTCTCCTGTCTATTAGAGTATAGGTTATATGGTATATACACTATATGGGGGCGGGAGATTGTCCATAAAAATTCTCTGTTCTCCTCTCTCTCTACACACAAGTGTATGTGTGCATACCTGTATTTTTTCTTCCTTAAAATTAACACAAGGACAATTATAACTATAGATGACATTGCTAGCTTTAAGAGCACAAAAAATAAAAATAAAAAAAAAAACCAAAATATTCTCTCAAACTTTTTTCTTCCCAGGGAAGTCGAGACAACATGAGTGTGATTTTGATCTGTTTTCCAAATGCACCCAAAGTGTCACCAGAAGCGGTGAAGAAGGAGGCAGAGTTGGACAAGTACCTGGAATGCAGAGTAGAAGGTGGATCATTTAACAAAAAATAAGTAGCTTTATTAAAGAAAAATCTGCAACACAATCAAACTATTAACACGTTAGCTCTTAGATCTTTCCATGCCTCTGGCATCGAGTGTTGTTGCGTGTACAGAAGTGGGACGGGGCGTCTGTGCAGCAGCTGTTTAGATGTGTGTAGTCTGTCCTGTCACAGCCAGGTTAGCAGTACCAGCTGATGTGGCCCTGTGCATTCTCTTCAGGATAACTTGTTTTAAAAAGCTGAAGTACTTGTGGACTCTCAAATGCTTGATGAATTCACTGGTATGAGTGGTTTTATGCTGGGAAAATCTGATTTGTGGTTTATTTAATTACAAAGACTTTTATTTTGATGGTGATAGTTTGCATACCATCTTGATAACAGGAAGGTCACAGCCTTATGATTAGCAACATTTGTGTGCTGTAGCTTTGAAAAATTCGGTAAATTGTTTCAAGGCTTCTTGCTTGAGGCATTAACTGTCTCAAACTAGATGTTCTTAAATGAAGACATGATAATTCCCTACTTTGTAGAAATGTAGCTGAGTAAGATCAAGAAATGAGTGGGGAATTCCTGAAGTATATTTCTCATAATTCTGCAAATCACTTTGAAACAAATCAAAAGCCATTTGGCTCAAGTGTAGCACCTTTAAATATCTGAAAAAGTTTGAATGATGTTTCATGCAGCTCCTACTTGATAGAAACTTGAAGTCTGCCCAGTTAATATCAGTTTACTGCATATATGTAATAAGTATATAGATTATGTAGTCCCTGTAAGGAGAAAAACTTTAACAGTGTTAAAATGCATTTTGGGCTCCTGCTGTCGTTAATTTGCGTGTTAAAGACCTTGAAGAGCGTGCAAGCACTGACCTAGTACATTCCCCACTGTGCCTGCATTGTTACAATCAGTATGTACTTTGAGTTGTTTTCCTCCCTTTTTACTGTTTGATATCAGTCATAATCAGTGTGATATTGCAATCATGATTGGTTTTTATTTTCAGTACTGTCTGAAGCTGCTATTTTATTTTTATTGCCCTCCCCTACTTGATAGTGATATGTCTAATAGTGTCTGTAGTATTTAGCATTTCATTCATTGGATGTACTATTCAATGAGTGTTTTCTTACTATTATCAAAGGTCTTGGTATTTTTATATTTTAAATTAATCATTTCAGTAGAAGTTATCTGTAGACAATAAAGTTAAAAAATTAGATTGCTACAAAGTCATTAGTTATAACTGCCAATTAGTAGAAAATTAGGAAACCCCAAGAATAATATGTATAGAGATAAGATGATATTTAATGTATTGACACTTTAAAGTAACTTGGGAGTACATGTTTTGATATTGGTTTAAAGAAATAAGTACTTCATTATTTTTACTATGAAATGGTATCAAATTTTAGAAATGAATTGCTACTTTTCTCATTAAAGTAAGATTCTGATGGAATTATGAAATATTTTCCATAATTTTGTTACACTATTAAGTTTTATATTATGAAGCAAGAGTTGCCACCTGAACAGAGTTTACATTAATAATCAGTATTTTTGATATGTTTAAGTGTTATTGTGCCTGTACCATTCAATTAGAGATTATTGTGTAAGTGAAATAAGGTATTCTTTACTCAGATAGATTTGATGAGACTGCAACTAGAGAATAAATATTTTATCAATTAAAACTGCATTTAAAAACATAGGAAGAATGTAACTGTTTGCATTATAAAAGTTGGTGTGTGTCATAAGTGAAAAATACTGCATTCAGCTTCTAAAACAGGCACCAAAACCTCTTCTCCCCCCTCCTTTCTGTAAATAAATGCCTTCAGTAAATTACTGTGACCCATCAGACCTCATTTTGTTTGCTTTGAACATTTTTGGCTTCTCTGTCCACATTGTAGAAGAGGACAAAGGCTTTTCAGCTCTTTCTCCTGCTGTCTGTGGGTGTAAAAGATTCAGCCTGTAATTTAAACCATACTAGGTTTGTGGGCCTTCTAAACCAATTTAAGATTATACTTATGCATATATTTTTAAAATTTTTGCTGCTGACTACCTGAGCTTTAAAGTTGCTAATTTTTACATACCCGGGAAGAATCCCTCATACCTGGTAGAGGGGGAGGGAGAGCAGAATGTGTTTGTATATATGTATGTGAAACATGGATATTCTATACCTATATATTCTTTATAAAAAGCGTTCAGTCTTTTTGCATTCTAATTAAAATATATAGTCCAAGAGAATTAAAGGAATATTTCTTAAAAATAATTTTCTTTTTCAAAGCATAAGGAAGCAAGTCTAGTTTAGTGTTAATGTTCAGATAGTTTAAATGGATTGTCCCTTACGAAGTTTTTAAAGCTTTACGTTATTTTTTTTTAAAGGATTTGGTTTCTTGTAATTTTCTCACAGTTAAAATATCCTAATTTATATTTTAACAAAGATGTAAGATACATCAAATATAGAGAATTCAAGGTAATGTTTTTTTAGACCTGAAACCATCATCAATTGAATTTATCATCAGTGTTCATTTCTATTGTATGTAGTTACCTATCCAAATAATTGTATTGGCTTAGCAATAGACTGTATGTTAAGTGTTTTATAGTTTTAGATTGTGAAATTGTGCAGTTTAGGTAAACATCAAATCCCTTTATTTTTGTACATTAGATTCCAGCACTAGAACCATGTAGAATAACTATGCTCCACAATAAAGGAACTTGGCAAACCCAACCTGAGATCCTTGGTTTTTGTTCAGATTTAAGACTGGTTTTGTTTTTTTGGTTTTTTTTTGTTTTTTTTTAAAGGCAAAAACTACTAGATGGTGAATTTGGTCTTTATTCTTAAAAGAGAAATTGAACCTTTAACGAAATATCATGGGTAGCAATGTCTGTCTTTCAATATGTGTCTTTTAATATGATGAAATCACATTTTGAAGCTTGATCAGAGGATGAAAGATCTTCGTATGCATTGTTATTTTCCAAAGTATTTACAAATTGAGAACTAGAATGATCATTTCTGGCCCCATTGATGACAAAGAAAATGCCATTTCTTAATATAAACATTGAAAAACAAAACTTGAACACATAATTTACTGAATATCTTTGGCTTGAATTTGCTAAAACCCCCACATGAAGAATTTTTGTACTTGGAAGTGAATAGCTTTAGAGTTCTTTGTAAGGATCTTTGGTTATAATTTTTTATATTCTGTGATAGGAATAACAGATTGTGGCAACATTCAGGGTGTATTGCTGTACCCATTTGATAGCTGGTTTTTTGGACATTAATTCTTTTAAATGCAGTTGTATGGTTATCAGATCGTCCTGTTTTTAAACACTTTGTTAAAAATTTAGACCTTTTACATTTAAGGCTTGACTCAAGTAATCAACAAAGGAAATGGTATTATATATCTATATACTGTTTAAAGATACTTTAGAGGAAAATTGAGCCGAGAGTGGAGTTCCAGTGTATAACTTAATTTGTGTGCATGTTACTTAAGTACTGTTTGGCAAATATAAATGTGAAAATGATTTGTGTTAGTATGTAATCAATAAATTCCCTTATACTTAGAAAAAGTTATTTTTTTCAAATCTTGAAATTGTTTCCTTTTTTTTATTTTTATTTTTTTAATCAGTGCGGTGTATTTTACAGGGTAAAATTCAGGAAACATGTCTCCAGTCTAAAGAAAGGAGTTATCTCCTCCGAAGTAACTAGTTGACATCTTAAGAAGGATGTTCTCATGTATACATTCGTGTTCCTGATTTTGTAACGCATCAATTTAACATGACATGTTTTTTCTTTCTACATTTTTATCTTATTTTCATTCATTGAAGTTCATCTTTTGTGTCTTTTTCTACATCCATTTGTCAAAAATTTTCAAAGGTCAACCTGGGGACTTTATTATTGTTGTTTGTTGTTTTAATGATGCCAGTCTAGAAAATCTCAGATGTGGTAAATGCCATCTTTAAAAACCTAGGTTATCTTTGTTTCAGTTTTTAAAAAATTTAATCTGGATAACACTTACAAAAAAAGTACTTCTGATCCCCAGAAATCCTAAAGAAGCAGGGGGAAGGCGTCCCGGACTTAGTCCACGTGATGCGCACATTAGCCAGCGAGAACATCCCCAGCCTCCCTCCAGGGGGCGAACTGGCCAGCAAGTAAGTCCCGCTCTGTGCACTCGGACATTCCGTGTTAGGGTGTGGAAACGGTGTGTGTGTGTGTGTGATCAAGTGTGTGTGCACCCCTAATTTCTAAAGTGATGCAGCTGTCTGCATCTTCAAAATATTTAAGCTGTGATTTCTGTGTTCTTTTAGTATTAGGGTGTGATCCTTGTTTAGGTAGCAGAATACCAGTGCCTGTAAGGACCCGTACTGAGAGTTAGCTTTGGTGGAAACTTGGGTGACATTGATTGCCTCACGCAGCATAAATGAGATAACAGAGTGAAAGAATTTTTTTAAACTACATATACCAAAGTCCGAGTCTTAGTAGCAGGTTTATAAGCTTGTCAATCTGCATAACCCAACACTGCAGATTGCCTTCATCCATCTGAGCCATGTTCCTGGATCTCTAACTTTCCCAGTGTTCCTGGTTGCTGGTTGCTCTTTGGTTACAGTTGGTGTCAGGAGAGATAGGAGAACACATTTTTTGCCTTTTTCTCTTTCCACTTTAGTTCATGGAACTGGACTAATTTGTGTTAAATATTAAGCTGACAGCTTTACACATACTACAGTGGAGAAATCAAGCAATTTTATCATTCAAGTCTTAAAACATTTTTACCTCAAATACTCATATAATTGACTTATAAGAGATGTGTTATTTTTATTTCCTTGATTCTCCACTGTGTCTTGTGACTATGCCATATTCTTTTTAATCATTTCACTACATAATGATTATAAAAGTTCTTGTTTGAAGCTTTTATTTTGGGGAAACTTTTCTTTCCCATATGTCCTGCATAATGGCTGGCTATAAAATTGCTTCAAATCAATTTTGTAATGAGAGAAGCTATAACTTATACATGCTACTATGGATTTTTACATATTATTCAAAAAAATTCCTAGGTTGTCATGGAAATGCCATATTTGATATTTCTTTTTTACAAGCACCTTTCAAGGGGCATTTTAAAAAGCAAAAACTTAAATTGTCTGAATTATTTTACTACATTAGCCATTGAAGTTACTTCTTCAAAACTAAGATTCATCTCCTGACTACTAAGTATATGTTAGTATTACATTGTAAGAATGGCATTCCTTACCAGTGCTGACTCACAACCACTTAAGCTATTGCCAATCTGAGTAGACCAGGTCAGACTGCTTTTCTTTTCAAACCGTGACTTTTGTCTTCTATTAACTGGGTTGATAGAATGTTACATTGTAGAGTAAATTCACCTCTACTTTAATATTGGAGCCCAGATATCTTAAAGTGAGGTTCCCTTATTGAACGTAAGAAACAGAACTAAAATAATTTCTAAGTATATGATTGTTTTTGAAGTTTTGATGAACACCTGGCTGTGAGTAATTAAGCACTATGTACTTTTTCAAAAAAATTAATTTCCTGCTTTTTTTTTATTTAGGCGGAATGTAATTGAAGCCGTTTACAATAGACTGAATCCTTACAAAAATGATGACACTGTAAGTAGCGTTTTAGCTCCCTCTGCTTTCCCTCCCCTCCACTCTAAATGCATATCCTTCCTACCTGTTTTTGCAGAGCTGTTCACTGCACCCATTCTCTCACACATACCCCTGACTGATTGCTCTGAACTCTGCTTGCTCTGATCTCTGCCTGCACCACAGTTCTAGTGATTGAGGACATAATCATGGTGAGTGGCCACCTCTCTCGAAACCGAAGAAAGTCCATTTGAATTATTCTGGTTTTTCAAAGCTTCCACAAGCAGTCTCCTTCAGAACGTTTGTCTTCACCTGATGGTCTGTTTTTGTTGTCGTGGGAATAATATGTGTGCTCAGAATCTGAGATTGTTCTAGGTTTTGTGAGCCGCCACAGCAGAACTGCAGAATATCCATGTCCACTAAATGGTTTTTGTGGCTGGAAATACTTTGTCTAGAATCCTGAAGTAGCATGCAGATCTCATTTAAATATTAAAGTAGGGAGCACTGTTTATATGACATTAGAATGCCATATTCTCCAAGCAAGTTTTCTGTCGCAAGTCTGTTTGTAGTGTGATGTTTATAGAGAAGTGGTCATTTAAAATCATTTGGGCACAGCTCAAGTGTTTTATGTATTGCATTATGAAGCTTTCCCAAATTTTGTATTACTTAAGGTCTTAGTCTCTTCTAATGCATTAAAAGTTTATGAAAGTTGTGTTCTAAAAACGGACTGAGTTTATCAAAGAAAATATTCTTTGTATTCTATATTATATAGTGTTACTGATTCAGTGATAACATTTGTTAAACCTCACGTAACCTCATTCCACATTTTCCAAACATAAAACAGAGTTAACAGTTCTTGGAATAGATTATTGATAATACATACATACATATTTGTATACTTTAAGATGAACATTTATATGCTAAAAGTCAGTTTTACAAAACCTTTATCTCTCTGCATTATCCAGAAAGTAGTTTTAGCACCTCTAAGCTTTAATTTAGTTCCTTGTTTTGTTTGTTTCCTTTTATAAAGGACTCTACATCAACTGATGATATGTGGTAAAACTGCTCATCTAGCCATGGAGTTTACCTTCACCTCCAAAGGAGAGTACAGCTTGAACCTTTTAACATCCATCCTCAACTCTAAGGAAGGGGATATGACGTGGGTGAGAGAGATTACACCAGAGAACTTCAGCAGTACAACAGCTAGCCCAGAACTGATTTTTTTTTTGTAAATTTGAGACTTATGTAAACGTGATTTCAACCATAATTCATGTTGTAAATCAGACTCCAGCAATTTTTGTTGTATGATTTTGTTTTTTTGTAAAGTGTAATTGTCCGTGTACAAAATGCTCATATTTAATTATGAACTGCTTTAAATCACTATCAAAGTTAAAAGATATGTTTGGCTTGTTGTGTGAAGCAACAGATACATAACCCTTTCAAGTCATGTTATGTTTGGACTTGGGGTTGGGACAGGGAGAGCAGCAGCCGTGTCAGCTAGACACTCAAATATGCGCGTGATTATGGGGAATAATTACAAAATTGGACATCCAAGGAGTTGCTGGAAACCATCTTAATGTTCTTGGTGGGAGGATTGGCGCCACTGATACAGCCATTCCCTTCATTTAACTGTCTTTCCGAATGTTCTCTCCTTGTTGCCATGAGTATTGCAGGTAATACAGTATATTCATAAGAACATCAATCTTGAGGCTCAAACGCCTTGATTCTTTGCACCTCTTTTACAAGTCCTTACATTTAATTACTAATTGATAAGCAGCAGCTTCCTACATAGAGGAGGAGACTGCCATATTTTTGCTATCATGATTGGCTGGGCCTGCTGCTGTCCTAGTAAGATACTCTGAATTCCATTTTATCAATAAAGCTTGATTTAACAAACAAGAAGTTTAATCATGTATGTGTAATTCCTCTTGTACCCCTGCCTTTTAAAATACCCAGTGCCATTGTAAATGAAATTTTCTCATAGGGACAGTTGGTAGTCTCTTTTAATTGGATGATACTGTTATTCAAGGCATAGATGGAACTGTTTCTGTTCTGTTAGAAAGACTAGAAGATTTAAGTCTCTGTTGTTCCTTAATCTATTTTTTTAACTAAGTTTCTTTTGGGCTGCTTGTTTTTCATTAAGATGTGCATCAGCTTGACTTTGCCTACTGTTTAATTAAAATAATTGTCAAAGTTCCACAGCCTAACACTCTATGGTAGGTGTGTGTGAGTGTGAGTGTGTGAGTGTGTGTTTGCCTGTGATTTTTAATTGGCCCATGTCTTTAGAATCCAAGTGGTTACGATGTATTTGTAACTTGAATTATAGCATGTTGATAATATTTAGCTGTTGGCCTTTAAAATAACTTTCAAAACTTAAGGAATTGTAGAAATAAAATAACCTAATTTATTTAGGCTTAAATCCTTCTGGTTAAGCATATGTGAAAGTGAGTTTTAAAATCTGTCACATTGAAAAGACTGCTGTCTGTGCCCTTCTGTATTTTTGTCTCCTTAGGGTGAGTATTGTATTTATCACCATGTAATTTACTCATTCAGTAGGCAGATTCCCCACTAGAAAACTAATAAAATAGAAGAGTAAAATATAACTTTGAATACAAAATCAAAAAACCTTGTGTAAAAAAAACTAGTATAATCCATTTTGTTATATATTTTTTTCCCTAACTTGGAGATATACATATTTGTATATATAGCCTTAAAACTAATGTAAAGTTAGGGGAGTAGTGGGAAGAGTAATGTGAAATGTCTCTGATTTAAGTAGTTTCATACCAGCAAAATCTTTTCATTATCCCTCTCATTTGTGAGGTGATTAAATGTAACTTAATTGTGTTTAATTTATATCTGAATCCAGCATGAATGAAGAAAAACTGAAGTACTATTTAAATTTAGAAATTCATAACAGTTGGAATTACCTCTGTAATTCCTTAATGTCTAGCTCTGTGGTAGAGTGCAAAGTGTGATAACGTTCTCATTACGGCTTTGCAAGCATCTAAGTGTGCATTTCATGGACACCATTGCTTCTAGCATAGATTGATTACCAGATGTACTAGTACAATAAGTCAGGTCCTTCATTTTGAAAGTAATCTGAAGTTTTTAGTCCCAGAAATTTTACAGTCTTGAACTGGGCTGTGTACTCTTGGAATGCAAAACTTAAGTCACAAGTGAAATCTGACAGAAACCTGTATTTCATTCGGTTAACAGCATATGTAGGGGTTTTTCTTATTTGAGAGTCTTTAAACCAAACAAGCTACTACAGTATCCCTCTGTTAAAATTACTAGTACTAAAACTAAGCGTGGAAATGAGAGAAGACCACGTCTGAGTGTGAGCTAGAAGATGATGTCTTTTCCACGTGAGTCAGCACTGCCCCAGGAGGTGGGGATTTTCCCTTGTGAAAACACGGAGGGAGGGAAATGCGTTCTAACAAGCAGACCACGATCTGGTGCCTGGAGGCGATGGTGATGGTGGGAAACCAACCACACTGGTAAAACGCACTTTTGCACCTGTATTGTGCACTTCATTTTTGTACCACTTCAGTTCTTGACCCTACTTTTTTTATGCTACTTAGCATCTCAGGAAAATGCCTCAAAATTGTTTGATGTGTTCTGTGTTCCTTACTTTGGAGGGAAAGAGTTCTTGAATGATGATAATAGAGTATTAAAAATACACTGTCCTTTAAATCTCTTATTAGGGTGAACCCAATTTGCTGCTTTTAATGGGAAATTCAGTTTTACATAGTAGGCACTTGTTGCCCTAACATGAACAGTTTCACTGATCTATCTCTTACTATCTTAAAAAGGTAAGCTCTCCTAATTTCCAGTTTCTTAGAATATACTTTTAGAGATAACAGAGAAGTTCTCAATATAAGAATTAACTCTGACAAATCAAGGTGGTACTTTTCTTATTCAGCTTTAGAACTGTCTCAAACATATTTTTAGTTATAGTCATTAACTTGCTTCTAGACTACTATGCAGCTGCTCCAGCGATGTAATTTTTTATACTAACTTCCTAACATTAAGAAATTTGGATTACAGAATAAATCGTTTCTGTAATTCCCATATTCTGAATTACAGCAGTACTTTTAGTGATCATTCATTTGATCATAGATTAATCCAGCTAATAACACTGTTTTGCCACAAAATGGTTTTTAGTTGTCTTGTTTTTGAGTGTTAATTGCAAAGCACTGTTCTAGGCTAAGCACCTTGGGGCTGTAAGGAGATGACTAGATTCTTGCTTTCAAGGAGTTTACATTTGGTAAGAATTTGCAATCTAGTCTATGTTAATATTGTAACTGGATGGCTGATTTAAAAAGAAATTGCCCACCTACTGTCTACCAGGAACTTTCCTGAACAGGGCAGTTCCCTGCCTAAACAGCTCATTCTTTTTTCCTCTGTTCATCTGGAAATGCTTTTGTTCTGTTTTCTTTTCCCAGAGTTAAAAATTACATTCTGAAGAAAGTTTTGCTTGGTGTAAGAATAAAATTGAATTGACGAGGCAAGGCTTAAGTCCATTCTGTGTGCTTGATTATGAATGCATGTTGTTTGCTATTCCTGCTGACAACAGAAGTCAGAGAAATAGGTGTAACGTATTCCTTAGAATTCTCCAACCCTGGAAATAGGAGGTGCTTGAGTTTAAAGCATTAAAAAATACTTGTGCATGCGTGTGTATGTGTGTGTGTGTGTGTGTGTGTGTAGCTAAATTGGTATTCAGTAAAACTCTGCTCTTTATAGCACACTGCCAGTGTTAATATCCATATCAGTCAGATGATGACTGGGTTTTAGTATCTGAAGGTCATTTGACTGCCCATCTTTACTGGGCGGATTCATCTGGGAATCCTACTTGTGATTTCTGAAAGAACTGATGAAAAGGAGTACTGGTCTTTCCAATTTTGCTGAATTTTGAATTTCGTGATATGTACTTTAGTCTAAACTTTGCTGATTTTACAGTATTAGGCTTTGGTTATTAGGTAGGTAAATATTTCAGTACATGACTGTTTCTCATTTGAGGTTTTCTTTGGAAAGGAGCCTTAAAGAGTTTCGTATATTTTTGCTTTCCGATACTACCGGTGACATGACCATTTTTTCAATAGAATGATCTAGTCTTCTAGCTTGTTTTTCTTTTAGGCATTAGGAAGTCTTTATAGTTGAAGGTTTTAAATGCCTGATTTTACTTTATTTCCTTTAATAATGTGCCATATGTTTTGGTTTATTTTTAAATTTTATATTACTTCAGAATATGCTTGAAATACATTAAGAATACATTTTCTAAATGTGTAATACTGTACTGTTTGGTCAAAATAGTGTCTGTTGGTGAAGCGTAGTGCTTAGTTATTACTGATAGAATGCTCTCCAGAAATAACGAGACACGGGCCCTACTTCCTTGTCAAGTGACATTTCCACTTTGATTCACCTCCACCCAAATTTTTGGCCTTTTACCAGTTCTTCGTGTTAACCTAGTGGCCTCCGTGTGGTGTCCTGTTTACGTCACTAGCAGGTAGGAGTGCTCAGTGGAAGGACTCAGCTCAGACATGGGCTCAGTTGCCATGAGATGCTGATTTTTTCTTTATCTGCATGAGCTGTTGCCCTCACTTCCTCTACTTCCTTCTTGGTGTTCTCTTTTTCAGACTGAACGACCCAATTCCATTTTCTTGATCAAGAAAGCTTAGTGAGTTACCTCATCAGTGTCGACAAATACTAGGTTAAACTGGGCTGGAAGTAAGCACACTTGGAGGAGGAGCGTGGAGTGCCAGTGAGGGGGGACTGCAGGGGTACTCTTTAATTCTTTGTAAAAGCCACAGGAGGGGCTTTCGTGGACCTGGCTATACATTTTAGTGAGCTGTTGTATCACATAAACCAGCAAGAATCAACCTTTACTGCTCATACAGTTTGATTTTTCCAGGAAGATAATGATAAAAGTTACTGATTCTTCAACATAGAAACAACTGAAATAAGGAAATGCATCATTTCTTCATTGTAAAACCCAACCTTTCAGTTCTTTTCATCGCTCCAAAACCCAGTTTTCTACTAATGGCTTTCTCACTGACTACATGTTTAGGAAAAATGTTTAGAGTTTTTCCTTTCCTTTTACATAGTCTAGTAAAAGACGACTTAGTAATATTTACATTTGTATGGTACTCTCTGAAGTAAGTTAGATGTGTATAAAAGATTTTGTAGCTATAGAATTAGAAATACCCTAATTCGGTACATTGAATGGCGCAAATTCATTTTGGCAGTGGTTCTCAACCTTGTGTGGTCACAGGTCCTTTGAGCTTGATAAAGCCTAGCGCCTCTGTAACCCAGGAGAATGCGGGTGCTGTGCCTGGCTCCCTAAAGTTTACAGTATCGCCGTGGCTCCTCGTTCCCCTGGGGAACAGCCGGTACTTAGCAATGTAAGATGTCCTCCTTTTTCCTGCAGACCCATGAACGTGCTTCAAGGGCATGAAAATAACTTGAGCCTATTTTAAGGGATTGTTTCACTTTTTAAAAGGCAAAGCGAGAGAGAAGCTTGGCTGGAACATACTAGAAGATCCTTCTTGAAAAAGAATGTAGTGGGAGGAAATGAGAATGCTTAAAGGTGAAAACATGTAGTATTTGAACTGATTTTGGAAGATAATTTTTTTTCTCTAAGGTTTGCCACTTTTAAAATTCAGAAAATTGGTGAAATGGAAATTGAGTGTGTCCAGGGTGTTTCTGACTTCCACAGTATAAATACTTATTAACTAATAATGCGGTTTAACTGTCAGGTCTCAGGTTTTAAGATTTGAGCACCCCTAAATGTTAAAATTCATTTCAGACTATCAGCAGTTGACCGTTTACTTACTATAGCATGTTAAACTAGGCTCTACCATGGACAGCCAAGTATCCTAAATACAAAGAGAACAGTTGCTGACCTGTATTTGTTACCAAAACTGAGTATTCAGTTACAGCTTATTTAATTTCCATTTGTGGGACTTTGGAGACAGAAATCCTCCTCTCATCTGGTCAGCCCTGGAGGTACTCAGCAAGCTGTCTGTAGCGGAATGCCTTGTTTGAATGACATGCCCCTCAGCTGATTGGGTTTCACTTCATTTGTGTCAGTGTTCCAGTGGAGAGACATGTACGTGTTAAAGTCTATAAATGTAAGACTAATACAGCTGCAGAATTTTTTTCCTAAATGGTGTGTAACAAAATTCTCCACAGTGACTC